TTTTCCTCCGCACCTGAAACAAAGAGAAGTGCGGTCCTCTTCGTTCTTACACTTCTTAGCTACATGTCCATATTCATGGCATTTGTAGCTATGTATGTATGTTTGTATGTATGTATGTATGTTTATATATTTGTACCTATGTGTAGTTGTAAGGCGCATGCTAGGGTGATGTCGAATATGTTATTGTAGCGTAGGCGAAGCTACGTTACAAGTTAAAATTTAATTTTAACGTTTTGTACTTTTTTGGGTGTTCTATAGATGAACGGTTAGTACACTAGACTTTTTCCACTTATTAAAACTTACATACAAAACACCAGTATATCGCACACCGTCTTGAAAAGAGTCACAACTCAAAATTTGTAACTTTTGAAATTATGCACAGAGCTTCTATTTAACTTTCAGCAAAAGCTGCAGAAATTTTTTTTTTATAATTTGTAAAAAAAAAACCTAAGGTAAAGTCGCCCCTTTTGTTGTCCCTATGGTCACTTTACCACAGTTTTCGTTCTCTTTGCCCTTGCATTTTATTTCATAAACAACGTTGTTTTGTTGCTGTATGTCTAGTGGGCTTTTTGTTCTTGTGTAGATTTTGGCTAACGTGTTACTTGTTTTGTAGGCGAGAGTTATGTTTTGTTCCTTAAATGTGCTGTGATCAAAGTTTTCGCTGAGCTTGGAGATGTAAGTGACGCTGTAGTACTTCTTTGGTGTATTTGCTGTTGCTGTGGTTGGCGTTTTATATTGCTGATTTCCTATTCGCATTGTTTCTTGTTTTATTAGTTCGCGTATGTAAGGGCAAAGAGAACGAAAACTGTGATAAAGTGTACATAGGGACAACAAAACGCGCATTAGGTGTTCGCATAGCCGAACATCAAACAGACATAAGGAAACAAAAACACAGCACAGCCCTATCACAGCACATATTAAACAGCGGCCACACAGCTGATTTCACTAACACTAGGATTATTGACAAGGAAAAGAGGGAAAAGACGAGATACACTTTGGAAAGCTTAAGAATATTGGAAAAAAGGGAGAATACGATCAACAAAAAAGCAGATACGGACAACATACAAGTGTACCAAAAATATTTCCATTATTTTAGATTTTTTTGGCAACCTTATACCATGTTCTGACCGACAACGAAAACATGTTTTCGTCGCTAAAACTGGTTTTCGACCTAAAACATGTGTTTTCGTCCATGTGAAATCTGTCAAACGAAAACCAGTTTTCGCTGAAAATTACTTGAAAACACATGTTCCACTCATTCCAATCGGTGTCTTTACTAGTTTTTTTCGATTATTTATCGAAGTGGAAGTCGTATTTTCTCATATTTAATACGCTATTTCGTATTTATTAGTGGTATTCATCTAAACCGATAACTTTATCAAGCAGATAATCTTATAAGTTTATGCACTCTGTTATATGAACGACCCACACTCTCTTTTCGTTTACACATGCGACAATAGTCGTTCTTCTTTGGTTATAAAGCGCAGTGTCACTAACTTTATACTACTAGCACGGGGATAAAGAAATTATAGAAACTACCTCACTAAATTGGAAAAAATTGTATTTACGAGATATCTATTTAAATAAATGTACATATAACATAAAGGC